CACATAATCTAGCTTTATAGCGCGAAATCTCACCATTGGGATACCTTTTTACCTTAAATACCAATTTTGAATGCAAAATATTCCTATCGGGTGGAATTTCCGTTATCTGCCAAGTATTATTTTTGTTTAAAGCAGATAATTCTTCATTTATGGCTTCTTGCCATTTTTGAGCATCAGTGCAGCTTATTGCTTCTTTGTACGTCTGAGGAATATCTGCTTCAATAAAATTTAACTGATAGTCTTCATATCTTACTGGTACCTTGATATTTCTTTTTGGTCGCAGATCAGACTCTTCATTCTGAATCTCAGGTTCAACAACATCTTGGGCTACATCCTTTGTGTCTATCTCTGGATATTCGGTGATATCATCTATTTCTAGATTAATTTTAACCATGTTATTTATATTTACAGTTCTGGAAGTCTCATTAAAAATTACATTACGACATATTGTTACTTTCTTGGTCATTGGGTCAAAAAGTCTATAGTTAGTAGAGTTTTTGTCATAGCCGACGAATATTAGTTTTTTACTTTTAGCTTCAAACTTGGTTCGCCTCGCATCTGGTACGTGTGCATAAGCATCGCAGCCAAAAATTTTTAAATGCCCCAAGAATGGTTTTTGTCCAGTCCAAATTTCGTATGGGGTAGAATCTGGCGTTTGACTTGTTAAAGTTCTATTTAAAATATAAACTGCCATGCTGACAGCTTCAGCCCATAAATATTTTGGCATTTGTCTTTGAAACATCATAGAACGAGCACTTTCTACGATTGATCGGTTGTCACGTTCAACACGGCCGTTTTGTTCTGGAGTGTATGGAGCGGTTGTTTCAAGAGTAATTCCTTCTTTGTCTAAATAATCTTGGAACTCAATGTTACAGAACTCTTTACCATTGTCCACGTGCAATATATGGATCGGTTTTCCGAATTTGGTTTTGACTTTTTGATTATAGATTTTGAAACACTCCAACGCATCGGATTTGTGTTTGATGAAATACACTACTCGATATCCCGAGTATTCATCTTTCAACGACATAAAATATCGAGTACCCGAAACTGAAGGTACGGTCATAGGTCCACAGAGGTCACTAAATATACGTTCTCCGGTATTTAGCTTTTCGTGCTTACTTTTTGTAACAAATGGTATTTTGTGCTGTTTGTCAAACGCGCATGCTTCACAAAAGAACTTGTCAGTGTCGCTGAAACTCACGCCTGTTATAAGTCCTTTCTTAACCATTTCCCGAATTGCGTTTACATTTAAGTGTCCAAGTCTTTCATGCCACAACTTTAAACTTTCGGGAATGACAATATTTGCGCTATTGATGACTGTGCGAAACATCATCTTATAAATATTATTATAGTCTTTCACTGCTGTTGCGATTACTCCGCTATTGTCCCAAATTTCTGCAAAATCGTTCTGTTTTAAAATTTTCATACCTTTGCCAGTGATGATGCCTTCTGAGAATAAATTTTTCGTTAAACTGGGTATAAATAGAACATTATTTATAGTAGCATTGTACCATTCTCCATTCAGCAATTTTTGAATGTTTACTGTTCCTTTTCCTTTTACAGATAGTCTTTCTCCATTACCAAGTACTACTATACTATTAATGTTTTCATTTAAACTGGCAAAGAAATCTTTTCTGTATGACATGTGAGCAGACGCACCACTGTCCATTATCCAGTAGTCATCCCAGACATTAGCAAAATTTACATCTACATTAAACGCAGTTTCAATGGTTCCTGTGTAAGCTGCACTACCATTATACTTGCTGTTGTTTCCACCGTCTTTTTCATTGTTAAAATTTAATTTTTCCTTCTTTTCTCGACAATTCTTTGAAAAATGTCCCCTTTTTCTACAGTTATAACATACAACATTCTTGTACCTATTTTTCTTCAATGAAACAGTAGCTAATGCAGTCTCAGCTTCTTCATATACGGTTAAACTTTTCTCTTCGTCTAATAGTCGAGCAGTGAGATTGGGAATCGTCTGCTTGTTTTCATCTAATGAGAGCCATGCTTGGCGAAAACTTCTGTATTTTAATGGTAAAGTACTTATGATTTTCATCATTACAGCTGCATCGCTAATTGACTCACCAGACTCTTTCACATGCTTAGCTAGATTTTCCACTTTCGCTATATGTTGAGCTATTGAGTCAGTATTACACATTCTGTACTGATGAAACCTTTCATGAACAATCATTTTATTTGTTTCACTCTTTTGTAGATAGATTGAATCCAATTTATTTACAATCTCTTTACTAGTTTCACAATTCTCGACTAGCGTAATTTGGTCTAGATTCATTGCCGCTGTTAGAAGGAACATTGCTTGAGCATCTTTTTTGTACCACTCCTCTTGTCCTGCTTGAAGTTCTGGTAACTTTATGGTTCCATCAGCTATTCCCCAGAGCCCTTTAGCTTTAAGAGCACACTTAAGCTGAAATTTCCACTGTAGGTAGTTCTGACCATCAAATTTACTAACACTGAGGTCAATTGACTTCTCCGCCATTTTTGTCTTCTAAATTCGTACACAACGTATCTCCTTTTTAAAATACTTAATGCCTTTTCTAGATGCGTACACAACGTATCTTCTTTTCTTAAATTATGCTTTTTTTTTCTAGATGCGTACACAACGTATCTCTAGAAGAAAACCATACAAAAAAGCAACACAACTTTTAAATGTTTTCTTCTCTCTGCTGGGCTCATAACCTGTTGAGAGGACCGAAAAAAAGCAATAACCAAGACTTAAAGGAAAGAACTGTTTTTAATCAAAATCTGACGTATTACATATATCAGTCATTTTTCTAAAAACCAAAAACAAAACATGTAAAACTTTGCAAAAACAAAAGCAAATCTTAATAGCATGACTCTCAACTAAAATGGTTGCCTTTACAAGCATTTTTTATTCAGTAGGTTGTTCTATTCCATTCGCCATAAATTAGACTATTTTGACATATTTTTCTAGAAAACCAGGGGTGATTAGATGGTTGAAATATTATGTAAAAGAGGTTTGATTGCTTCCAAAATGTATGACTGTTAACTAAGAATATTGCCGGGCATTTTTTATTTTATCCCATTCAACCTCTTATTCACCCCGAGTTTTCTTGTAAAGCGTAACAAAATAGTTTAATTTATGGTGATTGGGGTAAACCTACTGAATAAAAAAAGGGCAATACTCTTAGTTGAGAGTCATACAAACTTTATGAGAGCAATTAACCCATTTTTAGACTTTTAGTTCCTATTTTACACCTATTCAAGGCTACAATTTTTTCTGCATGTCAACACTTTCGCCGACGCAAAAAAAATGTTTGCAATATCCCCTTAAAAGTTCAGTAAAACCGCGTTTAAGGTATATCCCACAAATTATAGATCCACGTGGCCGAAATCCCTACACCAGGACAAAAAAATGCTTGCAAAGAGATTTTTTAATTGTTGTAGAAGTCTAGAAGAATATTATTTTAATGCCAGCAAAAAAACGAAAAATCCATTGATAAGCAACTTTACTTTGAATTACACGATAGCTCCATCACCAGGACATAGTACACATATTGTTCACCCCTCTTCCCTGTACCCACCTACAAACATAGCAATAAAAAAACACGACTTGTTACTTTTTGCAGTCAGGTGAGGGACTATTTATTATGTACAGGATGAAATATCAGTGTTTAAAACCAAACACAAGTTGTTTATTATTTGAGCTAGTTTTTAGACAATTAATAAAAAACTTGATAAATATTGTTGGGCTGGATTCGGATCTGCTAGGTTACTTAAACAATTTGCATATTCAAATATTGAACAGATGTGAATTCGATTCTCACTATATGTCACCAGCTTAAGGTGAAAAGTCTCTATATTTTTTTATGCCTATTAAGTCATAATATACTTTCGATAGTTCACACAGAATTTATAATTAGTTTTTATATTATGCAGTTTTTGATACAAACAAATTAGCTTTATTAGTGAGATTCATCAAATGTCAATGGGCGACTTTCATTAGAAAATGTATAAATTATTAAGCCTCAGATTAATCTTACATACATACACAGGTACCTTCATCAAAATGATTAAAATAAGTATGTGTACCTATACCTATACTATATCACTATTTTATATCATATAAAAATCAGATTGTAAAGTGTTCCCCTAGTCTTACCTCAAACTGAAATGAATTTACTTGCCATATATTAAATGATGGATAGGTATCTATAGGTATATACCGCCTATTTTTCCCAAATTTTAAACAAACAGAAACATAATAAAAAATAATTTCGAAAATATGATGAAATACTAAATTTTACCTGTGAAAATTGGATTTGAAGTGACCGAGAAATGGTAGCAGCTTCTTCCACCTGCAAAAATTAAATACCTAACAGAAGAAAGTTTTGCAAAAATATTTAATATGCTTATTAACAATTCATGCGTATTGTTTGAAATGCAATAAAAACCTTAAAAAATTACCTTTAGAATTTTTTTCATAAAAGTTAATAACATACTACCATTTTGAGAATGTTCTCGAATTTTAACAAATGAAAGTAGGCCTAGAAAAAAATTTAAATTAATTTTGTTTTGAATCGAGGTTTGTTCGTATAGAAAAACTTTTTTTGACGAGATCGATATAAAAAAAGTTATTGTTTCAATATGTATTTATAGTTAAACCCTATTAAATTATGGAATTTAAAATTACCCTCCAAATTAATTAATCTAAATATAGACAAATTTATGACTCCTAACGTCATCTACTGATAACTACAAGAACTTTGAACTGAGAAATCGTGCCGAGCGTTATTTTTACATCATTAGCTTATAGTGTTGGCCTTGTTCATTAAGGTATGAAAGTGAGATAGATAAAAAAAGAAAAACTAGAACTTGAACGGAACGCGTGAAGGTGCAACATTGTTGACAGATTTCTGACCGTGTCAGCAATGTATGGAAAGTTGCCTACATTCATTCTAAGTTTCCAGTTATCCAGTTTACTTTTATCGGCAACGGTGCTTTTGCTAAGTGTATCTATTTCACTTTTCAGGTTTGGTTATGATTTTTAATTTATTTTCGTTAACATTTTATATTTTGAAGTGAAAATCAATTGATTGTGTTACAGGTTATTAAAATGATGAATGGTTCGAAACGATCATCCTATACAATACCAAAGAATAATGTTAGATACAATGGAAAGTTAAAAGATATACTCCAATCCTCGTCGACGAGACATAAAAATGATGGAAAAATAGTAGAACCTGATCTTTTAAATATCCCTTTAATTAAACAAAGTGATAATGCTAAACTGTTGCCACAATATACGTCTAGTAAGTGTAAAACATAATGAAAAATATTTGTTTACCATCAAAATTGACAGTTGAAATTCTTATTTTTGATATTACAAACAATTATTTATAAATGTTCTTCTGATTCAATCCTTTTTAGCTTATTTTCATAAGAGAATACATTGTTTATATTTTTAGTTCTGGCAAACTCTGGAGAAGATACAGTATCTATGGATGATTTGGATCTATTACAACAAGACTTAGAAAAACTTCTATCCAATAGTGCCGTTAGAATTAGGTATTTGCTTGCAGAAATAGGTGAAATAGACAAAAATGACGAAGGGCACGATAGAAAGGCACAAATAAAAGTAAATCAAAATAAACAAATTAATTATTTTTTAAAAATTCTGTATTTTAGACTTCTTTAAAACGAAAATGGGTTGATGAAAAACCTAAATTCAAAGACTTCAAAGTTACTTTGCCTAAGAATAATTCTGATAAGTTTTGGGCTTCCATAGAACCTTTTTGTGCTAGTGTTACAAAAGATGACGTCGCTGTAAGTTAAGCTGCAAAAATATTTTCAAATTACCATCTTTACTTATTTATCTTTTGTAGAATATTGAAAATAATTAAGTGTTTTTTTAGTTTCTAGATTCTCTTATTCAAGAATATTCTAAGGAAATAGATATAAAAATTCCTGAAATTGGCGAACATTATGCTAATGGCTGGTCAGAAGAAATTATAAATGATGAACAAAATATAGGAAAATCACATAATAAAAAGACTTCTTCAACTAATGACATTAAGAAAAATGGACTTCATGCGTAAGAATTTTTTTATTCTAAATACTTATTTTTCAACAATTAAACTATGGTATAATTGTTTGAGGGTTTTACTTCCAGCCTCTTAGAGTTATACAAAATTGTATTGTCAAAATAATCTTCAAAAACCATTGGAATACTGTGCTTTTGTTTTTGCTGAAATTTTCATATATAATTCTTCACGTGTAAGTCAAATGGTACCATTAATCATATTTAAGTCGCCCCCGAGCGCCACGGCAAATAATAACCGTCCCTTCCTCAGACAACCTCAGCTTTTGGGGTTAAAATTCATTTGTAAGGGGGTGAATTATGGATAGTATTATTATTACATTCTCACAACACAAGAGCTAAGTCCGATAACAGCTTCATGACAACAATATGTGTTGTGTTTTGTAACCACAGTTGCTCCCAAAATTTATAATAAGCTACTAATGAACATATAAAATATAAGCAAACTACATATATTTTCAATTCAGAGCTAAACAATGTTACTGTAAACTAACAATTTTTTCAAGGACATTTAGTTAAATGACTGATACATCCCACTTCTGAAAATTAATTTGTATTACTCACTATTAGATAATGTCACTGTAAATATTTAATATAGCATATATAGGTGCCATGCACTTAGGTGTTTAGCTTTTCTTTCTTTTTTTAAGTGATTATTAAGTGACTAATTGTTAAATTTAAATGTAAACCTTATAAAATAAGAAAAGTTTTTAAGAAAAAGAACTCTAAGTAAAGTAATACTTCATAGAACTTTTGGTATTGAGTCATTCTAAAGTGTCTTTTGACGTAACTAAAAAAATGAAATTTTTTGACTGTGAAACGAGATATTAACAATCAAAATGTGCATAATTAACACTCTTGAAGCCTGTTATGTACACAAGCAATGAATTTATTTCAAGATATCTCGAAAACGGATCTTACTATATTTTTTAAAAACTAATGTAATGTAAATCAAGAAGTTATAAAATTTTCTAAAAAACGCTGTATTTTTTGACCGTTTTGGTAAAAAGATATAGATTTTTAAAATATTTTTTTTTAAAGCAGTCGACGCGTAGTGGAGTACAATGATTACAACTTGGCAACATTGTAATCGTTACAATTAACGCGCTGTAAATGTCTGTTAGATTACTTTAGGCTTGTTTTGGTTCTTTTGGAAAGTAGTTCAGAATCGCTAAATTACACTTGATCAGCTAAAAGGTTGTTATAACCTGGCTACATGTTCTTGAAAAATTAATTAATTTACTGTATTTGAGAATTGGAATCGACGGTTCTGTTTGAACCGAAACAAACCCTTCAAATTAGTATGAGGAAGTCACAAATTTCTATAGGTATACACACTCACTTGATAGCCCACCATTCATATAATTGCGATGTTGCTGAATGGATTTTACTTGAAATAATAACTTATCCGTATATTAAAAGCTTACATGTGTTGTGTACAGTCTCTTACAAAAATAAAAAAATTTAGCATTGAGGATTTTGAACTTTTGGTATTCACCATTAGGCGATACTTTTATGTACGACTGTCGCGAGTAAACTACCTTAAGTAATATCTAAGTTATACCTAGGGAATTTATTAAACTAAATTTTAGAAATATTTTTATTTCAAAAGTGTCACTTAAAATGTGTGTTGTAACTCTCTTTTAGCATGGTTGAAACTTTCTCGATACCTCAAACCCAGCGACTTCTGGCCGGACTAATAGAAGAAAGGGTGCTACATAACCAACCAAAAAATGGGGAAAATGGAACTAAATTTAGCAAACTGAAATGTAAGTTAACAATATCTTCTATAATTCTTGTTTTGATGGCCCATTTATCATTTTCAGCATCTGATTTTGCAAAATTAAAGTCATCAGCAGGTGGTCAAAAATTGGGAACCTGTTTAGATAGAAGACTGAAAAAAGAACTGATGGAACAGGGTATCCTTACTTTAGAAGATATAACAAAGGTATTTAGGTTATATTTTATTAGATCCAAAAATTAAATGTCAAATTCATTATTTATTTGTTAGCCTAAAGATATATCAACTCTTAAAACTTTCTATACTATATTGTGTCTGTCTTAGAGCATGCCTGAAGATGAAATCTTGAGCGAAATAAAAAAGTGCCAGCAGGAATTAACAACAGTGAATGAATACAACATAGAAGAACTGAATAAGCTGAAGACCGCTGTAATAAACGATCTGCATTCCAATGAAGTGAAGGAGCAGTTGGAAAAGGTAGACAAGCAAGTGCTAGATTTGTACAATAAAATAATTGTTTCAAGGAAAACGGCGCAACAAGAGGAAGGCGACGAATTCGACAAAGCAATATTTTCAGAACAAATCACTAAGGAATTTGAAAATCAAGCAGATGCCTTATTAAAACAACAAATAGAACTTAATAGAGAAATAAATGGTTTAACTGATATGCAAATGATTTACTGATGGTTAAATTCGATATAATTTCGTAATCTGAAAGTTTAAAACAGTAATTTTGCGAAACACTAAATGACTGATGATAATAACAACTTAAACATAATTTTGTTTGTTGCAAAACAATTTTATGCATTTTTTTTAATGATTTCATCAATTTTAATAGCTACCTAATGGAATTATTTTTTAAAGCCATATTATTTAGACAATAATTTTCTAATTAACTTAGATAATTTGAAGTATTTGATCTTTACCTATAAAGGATATTTTCTCATCTGATCAAATAAATTTGGGATAGGGCTAGAGTACACCCTTGTGATACTTTTTCTTTACCTACCATTATAAATGCTGCAGTGCCACCATTTCCAAGCTTTTTAATTTGTCATTGGGCTCACCGTTGTATATGCACAACAAATATTAAAAAAAAATAGCAAGATCATCGTATATTAATAAACAAACTCAGTACAAACTTTTAAACATAATCAAACAGTCAAATATTCTTAAAAAATATATAATAAAACGCTATGACATGCAACACCTGCCAATAAAAATAAAGAAAAAATAATTAAAAGTTGACAGTGAACAGAAGAGAATGGGCCTGGACGGGAATCTTAAATTGTTCCTAGACTTCGCTTCCGGGGTCGGCGCTTTCTTGGGTGAGATCTAAAATACCCGGCAAGGGGTTTTTGAAGATCTGGTACAATTGTACAAGCATTTGTGCATTATAAATTGGATTATGAAAATGAACCACAAACGCCACGATTTAGAACCATTAAATAACAACTGGTATTTATTCTCGTGCTTTGAGCCTGTTAAAAGTTAAAACAATCATACAAAAGCAATATTAGTTTGTTAATATAATCACCATTTGGTATTTGCAAAACTACTTTTCTGATTACTTAATTATATTAAACCGTTTACTCTAAAAGTTCTTTCTACTTTTATTTTTGAATTACTTTTAATTTGATATCTTTAGTATTATTTTATGATTCGTATATTATTCATTATTTTTATATGGATATGTTTTTATTTCATTTGTTTCTGCGCTAGAGTGCATTTTAATATCGGGGCTTCATAAAAATAACCCCAAATAGTAATTTTCTGGGAGGAGGATTTTCTCCTTTCTAACGAGGGACGTTATTCCTGCCTTTTTAATTTATTAAGAAAATATTCAGGTACTCGAGAACCTTGCACACAAACAGTAAACAAATTAAAATACCTATAAATATTGATAATGATCTTTAATATAAACCCTCTAACATTTTCAGTTGTGCAGGCTCTTTTCCACAAAGACTATAGGTGATAAAACAAGTTTGTTAGTTTGAATACAATGTATAGAAAATATTTTTTCTTATAAACTGTTTAGAGGTCGACAAAACAGCCTTAGATTAGAATTATTTATTAATAGAATAAATACGATCTGAAAACATGGTAAAAATGTACATAACTAACGTTTAAGATGTAAATAAATATCGATAAAAAATTAGCAGGGCTGTTTGTCAACTTACAACTTGGATTTGGGTGAGTTTCTTCTAATAAATTACTTTTTTTGAATAGCATTCTTTCTTTTATCTTCCTTGAACCTAACACGTTGAGCGTTTCTCCTATAAACAGTGTTTTATACCTCAAGTTGGACGATTTAATACCATTAGAAAAGGTCGTCTACAGGTTCTGACGATGAATAAATGCTAGCCTAGAAGAGAGTTAACAAAATTTACCGAGAAAATATGTTCTCTTCTGGTCGTAGCATTATTTTACAATAAAAATTGCAAGATTCATAGGATGGCTATATTTTTGTAGTCATCCTACTGACTTCGCCAATTATGTGTATTTTTTTATTAATTTATTTAAATTATTAAATAATGGGATATAAATCCATCTTCAAACCAAATCAAGGACATTCTTTTGGTACAGAGGATTATTGAATAAATTATACCAAGTAAATTGTCCACATCACACCTCATTTGGTTACTTAAAATTTTTTAGAAGAAAGGAAAATTAAAAAAATGTGTTATCAGAAACATTTTCTGTTTCCCAAGGTGTTCCCAAAGGTTTATTTCTTTCACCATTTCTATAGAACATTTGTTGTCATGATATTACAAACTCATAGGGAAGATTGCTACTATTTCCAATATGTCTTATGATACTTCAATAGCTACATCTATGCAAAATAGTTAGAGCATGCATTGCCTGGAGATATATCTCGGCAAATAGGCGAAAGTAGTCTACCTTGCCAAAGTAGGTAGAGTCACAGACCAAACGCCAGTCGTATCGCCCTATAAGCCTATTCTCCTTCCAAGTAAAAACGCTAGAAAGATTGATAGACAGACAGGTATATCAGGGGCGAAATAATAAAAATAAATCCGCTCTATCCCAACCAATATGCATACCAGCTGACCTAGCACTGGACGATCTATCGAAGGAGTTTTCAATAATACCACAACCAGGTCAATAACGAAACCTAGAACACAGAAACGTCCCAGTCACAATATACCAATGGATAACTGCCAGCCTAGAGAATAGGATAGGCAACCATACAGGCAAAAGTTATAGGAGGAATACTATCTCAAATGCTGTGGTCAGTTCTAGTGGACGACCAACTCAAAACGTCCAAAAAAGGTTAGCAGTGCATACACAAACGACCTAGCAATTATCGTCAGGGCGCGATTTGCAGGCACAGTCTCGAAGCGATCTCAAACAGCTCTAAACATAGTGAACAATTGATGCAAAAAGGAGCAATTGTACATTAACAAAAAACAAACATTTGTATTATTCACAAAAAAAGGTACTTACAGGACAGACCATTAGTACTAAATAACATCATTATTTCATTTGTCACAGAAGCCAAATACCTCAGAGTCATATTCGACCAAAGGCTGACGTAGAATCAACATCTCAAAAAACTCGCATACAAAGTTACAATGGCTCTCGTGAGTTGTAGAAGAATATGTGGTAAAAACTGGGGTCTAAGCCCCAAAATGACAATATGGTTTTACACAAGGGTGGTAAGACCTATGGTAACCTATGGCGCAGTAGCATGGGTAACCAAAACTGCTCAGACAAATGCAATAGGTCAATTCAGCGGCTCGCCTGTCTGAATACCACTGGAGCCATGCGTACTACGCCAACTGCAGCAATTGAGGTACTAGTAAACCTCACGCTACTGTACATCTTCATATAAGGAGAAACCAAGTCAGTTATTCACAAGCTTATTTAGGGAACTCTATTTTTTAAATAATTTATATTGTTTATTATCAAATGTTTTATACTTATATAATAATTGTAAATATAGGCCTAAAGACTCCGGTCGAGGGCCCTTTGGGAGTACCCAATGAATGTTTTCTTCTGGGATATAAATAAAAGACTTGAATAAAAAATAAACTATTTAATGTCTTATATACACACGAATAAACATTTGACTGAGTTTAAATATATAAAAAATTTGTTCGATGGACTAAAATGGACCTAGAATACGATGTTTCTTTTAGAAAGAAAATCTGAACTAAAAATGTTCATAAAAAGTTCAAGTTTGGCTCAAATTTTTCGATTAAAAATAATCACGTTTATTAGCAGTCAACGTAGAGATATCAAATCAAAACATTAAAAAAGATGCTTCTAATGAGCAAATATTGTTGATACATGACACTTAAAATTTGAAATATTCAGTAACAACAAAGTATCTCTTCTTTTTATTCCTAATTATACAGAATTTCCCCAAATAAACCACAGACTTATTAAACTATTACAGATTCAATGCAGACAAAGTTTATATTGTCTGTTTATGAAGGATCTCACACTTTCCTTTTGTATAATTAAATTCTGAGTGTATTTGTGTAAATATTTTGCTATAATGCTTTCAAATGCAAACAAGTTCTACAAGGAAAATGCAGTATTCTCCGTTGGTCTGAAATAAATATCCAGTACATCTGTGACATAGCTCGTTTTTTTATAAATATATATTTCAAAAGAACTGGTATAAAATATAAAAAGTATAGGGTAACTAAATTATTGCAATAATGTTAACTATGAAACGGATATGCCACAATTTTGTAGCAAGAACAAGTCCAAGTCAGATCAACAGAATACGAAAATTTTGCTGCTTAGAATTCAGCAAGTATCATGAAACTTGTAGAATGTTTTTCAGATCGTCTGGAAGGGCTGTGACTATTTCGTCCAGTCGGTTATTTAATTTTTCCTTTATAGATTCGTTAACGGGTATATCGTGCTGTTCACACTTTCTGATCTTGTTGCGAATCCGCAAAACCATATCCACTACTTCCACCTCTGGACGACCTTGTACCCAATCTTTCAAGTCCTAAAAAATAAAAAAAAAAGAGTATTTTTAATATACTTTTTTCTCTTTGGGAGTGTTAAATGAGAAATTTGGTTGGATATGTGATCTGTTCTTATGTTACTTACCTTGTGATCATCTTTATGTGACCTGTTATATAGATTAGTTGTAACTACGTTGTATAACTATGTTATAGTTGAGGCCGTCTATTATAGGCAGTAAAAAATGTCAGAAATGTGTAACTACTTCAGTAACTAAAAATTGTGCATTTACTATATCATAGATTGCAAGTGTTAGAATATTTGAAAATCAAAAATCCCCTTACGAATTATTAAAACCATTCCCGAACCCCATAGGTGATAACCAATACTTGGAGATTTGAAAAAAGCCTGTTGTCGCCTGCATTCGAACCCAGACATCTTCGTTCTCCAGACACATGCCCTTACCGCTAGTCCACTTCAGTGACTACCTATTCTTTCGTAACCGAAATTATTGTAGGTGACTGAATTTGTTGTCAGTGCAGATTTCATTAGAAACTAAAATCGAGATGTCTATTTCTTATTGAAGAGTCCAAATAAGGGTAAGCAAAATCAAAGGTAGAGTGTTGAAAATTATTTTCTTTGGATATAATTCGATCTTAAGTATAATGACATATAGTGTTATGCAACAATTTAGGAATTCTTTCAATATAAATATGTCAGCTCTGTTACACTTTCATGACATTTCTATACTGCCTATTAATGACGATTTTTAATAGTTTAAATATACTTACAGCATTCGATAAGGCTTCTGTCTGGAGGGCTTGTAATTTTAGAGTCAAATCGGAATATCTAGTATTGAACCATGCTTTAAAATTAGGAGATCTAAAGAATTTTCTATACAATCCTACCCAATCACCCCTAATTCCAGTGTTGTTTAGAGTTAACTGGGGTCCAGATGATTCTAGAGTGGCGAAAAAATGATCTGGGTTGAAGGGCAAAGGAGAAGGTGGTGCCTAAAATAATTTCAAACCATTAGCCATTGGCAATAGCCCTTAAACAAAAAAAATAGTAGGATACATTTGTAGGTAATACCTTAAAGGGTGAAATGCTCTTCTGAAGGGGCATTAAACTGGCGATGTACCTCTCCAAAGGAATCATAAAACTTTGTGTCAGCTCCAATAAATGTCTTCGAAGTATTGCAGTCTGTACCTCGTATGGTCTTTTTGAGCTGACACCACTTAACAATTTTTTTATAATATTTTTATCTTTTTGCAAGAATGGCTTGTAAGCAGTGTAAACACCGGGCGTATTATCGATCATCCTCGTCGGAGCTGTTTTTTTCAATTTGTATTTTTGAGTTTGACCTAAAATATTTCAATTTCAAATGAAGTTGATTTTTAGTAATTACATGCTTTTTTACCCAGATCGTCGCTTAAGCGTATCGTATGCGGCCAGTGGTGCAACGTTTTCCCAAAAAATGGATTGGTTACTCCAAGTATCACAGGTGGAGGACCTTGAGCCTTGCTCGTGAACTGCTTAAATTCGCTATCATGTATAGTGAAGTATGGGCGATAATCGCCACAAAATTGTAGTGGACATATTAGCCTATATACAGTAACAAAAAAAAGCAACAGGACGTTTATAGAAAAAGAATCACCATCTGACAGCTTTGCATCAAATTATCTATCTTGTGAAATAAATATATATGGCGTGTTTAAACCTCTGTCTCTCTCTTTTGTTCCCGCAGAAAACAGGACAATCTCAAAGCATATTCATACTAAAATGCATTTTATAAGGTAATTTATATAAAACGAAAATAAAAATAATAAATGTCAAATGTATGACGACTGAAGAAATTGAAGCAGACCTATTTACAAAAGTACTACTAGACCAAGACTTACCATACTTAGGAGTCTTGGACTTTACTAGTTGGCATTAGGTCATGAGAAGGAGTATTAGATTATTCACTTCACGTTGTTCTAGAAATAATATACAAATAGCCATACTAATTGACACAAGTATCAATGTAATTTTTCATAATTGTCATATTTTATAATTAGTTAAATACAACTCCCACTGTATCTATCTGTTTTATTTGTTTTGATGTCGTCAATTCCAACATTAACTGACTGAAACGTCAAATAAAACATTGGAATAATGTAACAAACTATGATTTTCAATGTCAATATCATGTTTCAAGTTGTTTGGAAAAAAATTAAAATAGGTTGTGTTCTTAGAACGGTGCATAAAACACTATTTTCATAGGCCTATATAGTTTTTATCTGGGGGCACCCATGTAACCACACCTAAGTTCTCCATTTCATATTTAAGGTATGTTGCAACAATGATCAAAAACCAGTCATTGACACCAGGATTGTGCGCAGTATGAATTTGGTAGTCTAAATAATCTACTGTGCAGAATCCTAGTGTCAATTACTGATTTCTGATCATTGTTGGAACAGACCAATAAAAAAAATACCTTTCCTAGCTTCTCTTGTTTTTGAAATACCAATACAACCTATTAAAAGTGACTGCAAAGTGTGGTTTCCAAAGAACAGACAAACGTATAGAATATCTTGCTGAATGGACTTAGTCAACAGCATATGAAACAAATCTATTTTTATGAGAGGCCTAACAACAATTATACAACCTTACAGCTTGCATACCACATCAAAACTAGCTGTAGATTGGGTTTATAAAAAATAAGATAATTTGATGCAAAGTCACTTGTATGATTATTCCAAACTCATTTATATATCAAAATATAAGTTATTACCGTGTTAGAGCTAAGACCATAGATGAGCAATGTGTGGGGGATGAAGCTAATACTACAATCGGTTCAGAGACAATCACCAATTCCCATAGCAAATGAATATGTGACAAAACAGGTTGGAGAATATCGAATAAATTGAGATCTTCCACATGAGTTTGAATTTGATTATCTCCAGGTTCACTTAGTAAGGCCAAAGTTGGATTTGCTGATGTAGCCAAAGGTATGTAGGTCTAAAAAGACATTTAAATTCGTTCTTTAATAATAGTTTATGATTTTAAGAATAAAAACAATACTCTCTAATATTGAAGATACAGTTATGATTAAGATATTTAAATTAGAAGATAAAACAATGTATTAAAAACAAATAGAACAAAAGCATTTATTTATTACACATTATTCAAAATGCTTTCATTTGAAAACTAGGCAGTTCAAATAAATTTCATTTCTTAGTGGACTATCTAGTTGTAAAAGTAAAGAATTGTATTAATTTTATTTAAAGCTAACCTGGAAAACAGATCCCAATAAAGGTAAATTAAGGGTGGTTCCAGGTCTAGGTTGAGGCCATCTTTCAATGTTGTAACACACAGCTTCCAAAGTAACCTCACCATTATCAAAGTATTCAGGGGCAATATAACTGCATATTTTACTGAATAAATTGTTGAAAGGCAGAAAAGAAAGAATTACAACACTCTAGAAATAAAAATAAATTTATGGTTACACTCAAACTCCAGGAAATACAGTCCATACATATTCAACTAATTTTAATACCTTTTGGAAATAACCTCTTGGCAAGGAAATATCTTTTACTTGTCTAAAATAAACATAGCCCCAGTAGAAAGATCCATCTACCTGCATGGCAGTTGGACATTTGGTATTGTAGTAGTTATGTTCATTTTTTAGGTTTTTCGTACCCTGGTTGTTCTGCAATCTTATTATGAAATTAGTGTCCCCCATGCAACCAGAGTTTGAGTCAGGAAAAGCCAAATAACATACATTTGATATTTCTTGTTTTGTAAGGGTGACATGCCTAGGAAAAACACTCTGAAAGAAAATCACTGGAAGTAGTTTGGTTGAACTTTTGAATGTGAAAGTACTTGCCTCAAGAGCTTGTCCCAATTCTAAATCAAAAGTAACGACACATATGCAGTATAACCAGTTGTGAAAAGTGTCCCAGGCATCTCCTAATTCATTTTCGATAAATTTATTATCTCCATCTGTCATAGTTAATAATATTGTAAAAATTGTTATGTTATTATTTTTGACATTTTAATTTTTCTATGGTTATTTCAGTTCCTGTTCAGTTCATTAGCTTACTAACAGTGTTGTCAATACGCCAATCAAGGGGGTATCCCGGAGGTAACCCTTTATAACAACATAAAATAGTTAATTCCAAATAATAATAAGATAACTTTTACACTGATAAAAAATTATACCTAGGTCAGATCAATTTTTTTTAAGTAAAAAGTCATATGTATATAATTACATCTGACAACTGTGTAAAATAGGCCATTATTTCGCGTCTCACTTAAAAATCCGGTTATGAAGTTCAGTGGATTGCTTTAGGACCGATTCCACCGTTGTGTTAAACGGAGATTAAAATGACATTGTTAATGTAAAAATGTCATTTTAAACTCCGTTTAACACAATACAACAGTTTATTGGTTTAACACAACGGTGGAATCGGTCCTTAGTGATAAAATTCTTTCGTTCGTCCCACTGGTGTAGGAATGAACAACACCAACACACACCATACCTTTCGTTTGGCCATAGATAAATTAATAATTTATTAATTTATATATGCTGCTTCCTGTCGACGATGCGGTGTCCACTGGTGGTTATTTTCTTCACCAGCAGGGGGTCGATTCTCGACTCGTAGGAATATTTTCCTATAGGAATTTTTGACATTTTTATATACATCGAAAATTTATGACATTTTCCTACATATAGGAAAGTGTCACAAATTCCTATAGGAAAAGGTTCATACAAGTCGAGAATTACACTCGACTGTGGACATGTAGATAAATAAGGTGGTGTAACTGGTGTAATTTACGCTGGTGGACACTGCACCGACAGCGAACGAAAGAACCTATGAGTGCTCGCTGTGTTCGGTTAGTTTGTTAGTTACACCGTGCTGAGAAGAAAACGATAGTTCTATTATTGTGGTTTGTTTAACGTCAACATAATTTTTTTAAAAGGGCAGTTCAATTTAAAATTTCAGTAAATGTTTAGTTTTTATTAATTAAATCTGTACTTATAACATGTCTGATCTGAGAAAATCAATTTTTGGACTTCAAGGAAAACGGCCAAGGTTGGTTTAACGTAAGAATAAAAAGTATGAACTTGTAAATTTACGATACTATTTTTGTAGTAGAACTTCAGTGTCTCCGGCAAATAATTTTGGACCTGTTAAATGGACTAAATATTATGAAAGAGAGGAAGTTTTAGATATATCAAGAGGCCAGTTTCATTTTTATGCCAAAGGCTCTACGGGGCCAATTTTACTTTGTCTTCATGGAGGTGGATATTCAGGCCTAACATGGGCATTATTTGCAGTAAGACCTATTGATATTAATAAATTTTAATCTCAAACGTCTCTTAATAATATGAGATTACAAATACATCTTAAATACAAGAATGTTACATATGTCACATTAACTTTTAGAGAGATAACCTCTATTTGAGGTACCTACAAAGTGAGTTGCTAAAATTTATGCTATACAACCTACTATTTTGATCATTATTGATGCAAATATAGGTTAATATTGCAAATAAAGCTAGCTAAAACCTCACATCCACCTTTGTTTAGAGGCAAAATAATATGGTTGGGTTTATTTTGTAGGAAGAGGTTTCAAAATTGATAGAGTGCCGGGTTATTGCAGTTGATGTAAGAGGCCATGGAAATACAGTTACTTCTGACGATGCTGACTTATCTTTAGACACCTTATCTAAGTAAGTAGATTTTTTAAATTAGCTCCCTTAATCTGCAACTTGTGTGAATGCAATTAGACACTTATAAAATATTCTTGATTAAATGTATTATATTTAAATTTGTGTGTTCTAGTCCTCACTTTGAGCAGTGTAAATAATTGTTAAATTAGGAAAATAAGTATGTATTAACAAAGATTTTTTTACTCATTTAGCGATGTGGTTGAGATTGCTTCAAAATTAATTGAAGAAAATCCATCTCCTATAATACTAATGGGCCACAGCATGGGTGGTGCAATAGCAGTTGAGGCAGCTCATCATATTGACAGTGTTGTAGGTCTGTGTGTCATTGATGTGGTTGAAGGGACTGCTTTGGATGCACTGTCATCCATGCAGAGCATTCTGAGAGGCAGACCATCTCATTTCAAGAGTCTGCCCCAAGCCATTCAATGGTGGTAAGTTAAATGCTTCAAAATATGAGCAATAACATACTTTAGATGCAGATATTGGTTCTTATATGTATATATATTTTTTTAATGTAGCTATAAAGGAGGCCAAACTCATAATATAGATGCAGCCAAAGTATCTATGCCAGGACAAATAGTGAGGTAAGTTCAATTTTAATCATGAAATTACTTTATTAGAATAAATATGCAGCCACCTGACCCTCAAAAACTTATGGAATTCTCTAAGAACAGTTCCAGAATGAGTAAAGCAAAGTGGTATTTTTTGATATAGAAATAGATATTGGCAACACTACTTATTGTGTTATCAATGTTTCAGATAGATGAACTTATGTTTTATGTTAAAAACTGGTATGCTCTGTCAATTATATTTAGTTCCTACATTTGCTTTTTAAGAAGAATTTCAAAACATTGGTATCATAAAAACATAATAATTTAATATTTTTTTTTAATAATTGTCATTTATTGAACTGAAAATTCAGTCCAATAGGCTATCGACGGCAGTCCTTAATAATAATAATAAACGTCTTTATTATACCAGCAAAACAACATTTACAAAGCATAAATGGCGTAGTCTAGCCAAATGGCCATTCAACTTAACCATATCACAAATCCTAAAACTAACTTAAACCTAACCTACTCTACATTACGCTGAATGTCTACGGATGAATTCAAATTTAAATTAAGAACAAGAATTAAATAAAACAAATAAAATAAATAAAATAGAATATAAATTAAATATTTTCATTTGCTTGGCTACCAAGAAAATATGATTTTAACATTATTTTAAATGAACTAGTACTCAAATATGATTTTAAGTGTGTATTTAGTGAATTCTATACTTTAGCGACATTATAGCTAAATGACCGTTGAAACATGGCAGTTCTATGTCGTGGCATGGCGATTTCGCAAATTTAAGGCATGTGCGTCAATCCTATACGTAATCCGTTCTCTTAAATATAATGGTGAATTAGCTTTTAATAAATTGCTTAAAAATAATAAGAAAAGAAATTTGAACAAAGAATCTATTTTCAACCATTTTAATGAAATAATGTAAGGTGATATGTGGTCATATTTTCTTTTGTTACAAACACCTGATACCTGATAATTTAGTTTCATTTACTTTTCCTACAACAGAATGTACGTAAGTCATTTTTTATAAAAAATATGACGCTCTATTGGAAAACTTTAAACAACAAATGTAAACTAAGTATCAATAGCAATAATTTTGTATGTATGAAGAAGTGATTGTATTATCAGTCGTGATTTGTTAGGTCAATTTATAAATAAAATAAGGAGTTCAATGTTTTTATTTGTCTTTACTCCTGCTTCCCTCATTACCATTTCAACATAATAGCTGTACATATAAAACCAGTTATTGAAGGGTTTAAAAAAAGGTACAGAATGAGAGTTAGGAACTCCAGTAATTACAACTATTGCACCTTTAAAGCATACAAAGTGGCCTTTCTTGCCATAGGAGCTACTACTGACAATACAGTACTTATTATATGATATTGGCCAACGAATACTTTCCAATTACCGCTGGGCACAAGTAGGTGTGAAAACAAAGGGCAAGCAGGAAAGGAACAATACTAGCGATTTGAGCTCATACGACCCAGCAACGTTTCAATGAGTCGTCATATAAGTGGCAATGTTGGCACCATTGCTTTTCCGCTCGCGCCAATGCCAACTCTCTGTAGCTTTTACTTGCACTTGTGGCCGATACCGTATGATATAAATATATAAATGTGAAAGTTTGGATGGTTGGATGTTTGTTGCGCAAGAACAGCTGAACGGATCTGGATGAAATATTCATCATAAGTAAATAATGACGTATTTTAAGGTTTTTGGAGTATCGTAAAAATAAAAAAACAAGTAAAAATAAATAAAAAATATTAAAAATTAATAGAAATTATTAACATTTTAAAAAATTCATAAAAATTAATAAAAATGATTAAAAATCAATAAAAATTAAATTAATAAGAATTAATCAAAATTAATAAAAACTACTAAAAATTAATAATCATTAATTTTTTTAAATGATAAACACGACAGCACGCATGCAAAGGCTAATATTTCAATTAAATGAATGTTTGCTTTTGCAGCATAAAAACTGGCAAACTGGCAGCTGATGAGTGTGACCAGGTACACTGCGACATCTCCAATACATCTAGCAGAGATGCCATTTCTTCATCATATGCTCTTGCAGAAGTAGCCGAGGTAGCTGAAGACTCGGAAGAGGCTGATGCTGACGATGACCACTGTCCCGATTGCGGAAAGCCCCCAATTCCTCCAAAAACTTCAAAGACTGATATTTTCAAATCTCCAAACGTTAAGGAAGAGGGACCATTGTACAAGTGGAGAATCGATCTGAGCAAAACAGAGAAGTTTTGGACTGGTTGGTTCAAAGGATTGTCCCAGAAATTTTTGGATATACGCATTCCTAAGTTACTTCTACTAGCCAATATCCATGGACTTGATACTACTTTGACTGTTGGACAAATGCAAGGTAAGATGTCTCAAGGCAATGTTCTCAAACTGTATTTATCACCATCTCTATGAATCTAGTCGTGATTAGAGTGACATTTTTATCGAAATTTTTCACTTTTCAGGTAAATTCCAGATGCAGGTATTGTCAAGGTCCGGCCATGCTATCCACGAAGACCAACCTTATCAAGTGGCCGAAATTTTGAGCGCCTATCTAGTTAAACAACGTATTGCAACCCCAAAATCTTTATTTGTTTGTCCAAGTCTACATGCTTGTTAAATGGATGTTCAAATTAACTTAATTACATGTTTTATTTTAATGTTCACACAGCCGTTATTTTTGAGATTCAATGTTTCAAGTTTGTTTGGATAAACCTAATACAAAATGAAGTTATGAGTGTTTGATGTAAATCCATTATTTTGGATACCAATGAGTATTCTTGTTTAAGACAGTATCCTATTTACTTCGCTTTTTATACACACTGCATTTAATATTTTTTATTATTCCTAATAATTTTTTTTAAAGATTAAACAGTTTTTCGTACTTAACAAGTTTTACAAATAACATTGAATATAAACCCCTCCTCGCTAGTTTAATAGATTATAACAGACAAGGAACAATATTTTGTCACTTTTATGGCCACTGACAGGATTTGATATTTGACAAATGAAAGCTGAATTTCATTAATGATTTTTCTTAGAATTATGTGTTAATAAAGAAAATATGTAGGAATTATTTAGTTTTTTTAAAACAGTATAGATTTTAGATGAATTTCCTATCTCGCTTATATTAACCCTGAAATGGTATTATTTTTGCTCTATTTGAAGTTTATTACTGAATATTAAATGTATTCATAAGAATGTTGAGGTGTAACAAATATGTATTGAAACTATTCAAAATATTAAAATTGGAAATTCAGTGGAAGGTTGAGTAAGTAGGGTGTGTTAAAACTATTAAATATTTGACATACTTAAAATGTGTACAGGTTAATTCTTAATTCAAATTATTCGAGAGCTACCCTTAGAAACAAATACAATGAGTTTTGTTATCTAAATTTTGAAATAATCCAAGTTGGTTTTCTAATAAAATTTAAAAAAATGTTGAAGTCATCTGGTTAAAGAGATTTTAAAAGAACTTATCACTATTTTTGTAATAATTTTGTTTCCATATTTTTAAGTATTATCGACTTTGTCACTAGTCCATTCAACATAGTTTTCAAATGTTGAGGAGAGTGGATAAAAACAACAATGCGACTCAGTAACAAATGAATGCCAAAAAATTTGTAAAATATTAATTTGTTGTTAATTCACTTTCCAACTTCAGATGTTCTGTTAAATGTGTTGTCAGACAAATAAAATCATTGCATTATGATTATTTTATTTAAAATCTCTAAAAATCCCTTTCAACTTAACTTTTAAATCCTCAAAAGAAAATAGTGCACCTTCATATCTATGGGGAAAATATAAATAAACTAGTATTTATTTAGCTAATGAACATATTTTAGTAGGGGAAGTTTTGGAAAAATCACATGGAACATGTCAAATTAATTTTTAATACAATACTAGAAATAAAAATTGAATGGTAAACAATAAAAATAATGTATATTTGCTAAACTACAATACAAAAGTTAATGTACATGATCAGTTTTGTTTTGCACTTTAAAAATCAATATATAATTAAACATACATCAGTTAACATTCTAAGGGCCGATTCCACCGTTGTGTTAAACGAAGATTAAAATGACATTGTTAATGTAAAAATGTCATTTAACACAAGGGTGGAATCGGTCCTAAGCCAATAAATGCATAAGTCAATCTTATGTACATTATTATAATTTGTACAAAAAAACTATTTCAGTGTAAAAATGGTTAACACCACCACTATTATTCTTTAAAAAGATATTAACTAGAAACCGCCTGCTCTAAGTTTTCTATCTGACTTTCTTGCTGGAGCTTTTCAGCATCCGCTACCCTTTTATTTACAATATCTGTTTGGGCCACCACGAAATTTTGCATTAATTTGTTATTATATTTAATAAATTTCGATGAACAGTCTTCAATACATTCTATTTCATCTTGATCCAAATCTCTAGTGTTGACATTATTGATACATCTTTTGAAACACATTTCTGTCATCTGATTGTAAAGTTGGAGAAAATCTCTGAACTAAAAAATAAATCGTACGATTACTAGAGTAAAATGATACTTAAAATACATTACATACATTTCGTAAAGCTCCTGGGTCCATTTTATTTACTTTTAAGTTACCTTTTAAGCATTTTAGTTGTATTTCAAAAAGTTAACCTAAATTGGCCAATGTTACTTAATCTGTCACTTTCACAGAACACTTTTCACTTTTTATTTTTCTATGGAGTTTCATGTAAAGTTAGCAACGTTTGAGCTCCGTTCGTTGCCGTTGATAAAACGTACTAGATCATTGTTCTTATTGACCGGATTTACACAATTGAAGTGAGTTTTAATCCCTTCCATTTAAATCCATCTGACAACTTAATCCAAAACAAATGTCATGTCAGTAATGGAAGTTTTGTGTAAGGGTGTATAGGGTATAGGTGTACATTTTTATTTTTAGTCACATAAAATTATTAACATGCACACCTATTTTTTAATTACAACAAAGACATAAAATGTGACAAAGAAATGTAAATAATGGATAGTGAATTAGAGAAATCGGTACTTTTGAGTACATTTCAGTGTGGCAAGAAGAAAATTCGTATAATTTTACATCAAGGAAATATTGTTTGGGATAATGAAAAACCTCCATCAGGTACACATAAATTTGTATCATTATAAAGGATTATTTATACTAATAAATTATATATTTTAGACAAGAAGTCATTGCTACTTGATAATATTATTTCTGTTCAACATAACTATGTGCGAAACAGTCACCCAAGTGAAATTCAACAAATAGACCCCTACACATTCACTATTCATTATGCAGAAAGGGACAAAGGATCAAAATGGACTTACAAAAACATTACACTCAAACACACTGATTCTGTACAAGTTGCCATGTGGGTAAAAACCCTACAAAACTATTTAAAAAGTGAGTATCTAAGCAAAATTATTTATCTTTTTTAAGTTAATTTATAATCATATTTGAGTGACCTTGTAGGAATTAGCAATTTTAATAAAGACATAGCCATATGGATATAATTTGATTTAATGCCCATAATATCTTGTTATATATTTAACAGACTGGCTATAAATTTTTAATCAAATCATTCTGAATTTTATACTAACTTACTAAAAATAGAAATAGGTAATTTACATTAATACTTAAATAGCTGGGAAGATACCCTTTTCATTCATTGTAATTTACTACAAAAAGTAATTAGGAAATATTCCATCCTTGAATATTCTTTTCTTTGCCCTCAAAATGTTATTTACCTTTCATTAATAACAAGGTGAAGTATGTGTTATTTTGAACATAATCATCAGACTGTAGTTACCTTGATGGCAAATAAAAGACCATCATTGTGAATTGTTTATAATGTGACATTTTTAATTTTTATGTATTTTAATTATACACAAATTACACCAAACCTTGGCCTTTGTATAACATGTATACATGCTCTGCCTATTTATTATATTCAGTTCCTATAGTTGCTTTTGTAAGAAGAATGTCAAAACATTGGTATAGAAATCATTATACAAGGTGGCCCAACGAAAACTTGACATGGGGGTTTTGAGTATTAATATTGTGAATGTTAAAAATCACTTAGACAGATCGATTTTAGTTTGGAGGGAGACACTTTTTTTCTTATTGCAGCATCGTCACTTCAACAGTCGATCAGTGGGGGTGAACAACCCCTACAATTTAAATATTGAAAACATAGTTTGATGGAGAATTAGGCAATAAGACTATTTATTACATTACAAATATGAACATAAAAATATCTAAGCATTAAAACAAGTGTATTGTTTGGAGCTCCTCTCTCACTATCAAAATGTGTATCTATTATTTATTATTTTATTGATGGATTGCTTATTATATGTGATAATTGTAATAGATAAGATTATTGAAAATTGTAAATAAATATAATCTCTTTAAAAATGAAGCTTTAGTATAAAAAATTAAACAAAAATTAGATACACCTTCCTGTTAAGTATCAATAGCAATCATTTGTTGCCCTAGGTATGAAGAAGTATTCAGGCATGGCTCGTGGCCTAATCTACAAAGAGGTTACTTTTAAAAGGCACACCCTATATTCTTAATAAAAATATATATTTCTATTAGAATACAATGTATTATTTCTGCTTTTTGTACTCTAATAGAAATACATATTTGTATTAAGTATATAGGGTGTACCTTTCAAAAGTAGCCTTCTCATACACTAGGCCTGTTGATTTGTTAGATTAAATTACAAATAGAACAAAGAGTTCAGTGTTTTTATTCCTCCTTAGGTCTACTTTCCTCAACACCATTTCAGCACAATTGTTGTATATATAGGGTGTTTTTTAAACATGCGGCAAAAATTCAAGGGGTTGTTCCTTGGACTATTCTAAGAATTTTTTGTCCTTTGATGATTTTTGAAGTGGAAAAATAGTCGTTTTTAGTAATTGGAATGTTGTTAAAAAATAATAAAAATAACGAATTTTTAAAAAAGTTGTATGTTCTTGGTTAACACAGTGTAGTACCTATTTTTATTTAGACTATTAATAATTTTAAAAATAATAAAAATAGTTTTCTCGAAAATGTTGTCTCCTAAACGAAACGGAATTTTAAAAATCATCAAAGAACAAAATATTCTTAGAATAGTCCAAGGAACAACCCCTTGAATTTTTGCCGCATGTTTAAAAAACACCCTGTATATAACCACAGACCTTTCCTTCAGTTATGAAACAGTTTTAAGACAAAAATGCAGTAATAGCAAATACAGATTTTCATAATAGAAACATTACCATTTTTGTAGATTTCAAAGGACGGCCAAAGCACTTGCTTCTTTTTGTAAATCCCTTTGGGGGCAAAAAGAACGCGATGCAGATATATGAAAAATTCGCCAAAAATCTGTTCAGTATAGCCGGCATTGAAGTTACTGTGAACGTTTCACAAAGAAAAGATCAAATAAAAGACTTTATAATAAATCATAACTTGGATACATTTGATTCTGTTGCCTGTGTTGGAGGGGATGGAACTGTTTCTGAGCTTTTCAATGGTCTAGTCTTAAGGGAGTGCAATATAAAAGGAGTAGATCCTGATGATATTGATCAGAATCTGCCCAAACCCAAAATTCCCATAGGCATTATACCAGGTACAATAAATAGTTACAAAATGAATTACTTTATACTGAAATTATGTATATTTAATACTTTGAGTGACCCTGTACTTCGCATATTTTAGGAGGTAGTACTGATACAATAGCATACTGCATCCATGGTACAGATGATCCAACAACAGCCGTACTGCATATTATATTTGGAGACAAATTAGGATTAGATTTAGTGTCTGTGTATGATGAACACAGTTTACTTCGTTTATACGCTAGTGTTTTAAGTTATGGTTACTTAGGTGATGTTGCTTACCACAGTGATCAGTATCGATGGATGGGCCCCAGAAGATATGATTACTCAGGTATATATATTTTTTCTTATTCTATAGAAATTGTTTTTTGATGTTAAACTCTTACAATTGGGCTCAAATAGATGTCTCAGAACTAAATAAATATTTTTTTCATTTCGTAATTGAATCGGTCATTTAAGAAACGCCATAAGTCAGAAAAGTAAAAGTTTGGGAAATTTAAAACAACTTTCCTAAATCGTCTGTGTGTGAGACAAAGCATTGATTTTTTTTCTAAAATTGCGAGATTGGTTTACTATTTGATGGTATCAAAACAACTCGTGCTTTTTTTTCTAAAGAGTCCAAAATATTTTTAAAAATCATGACTTATGGGGTTTCTCAAATATACGGATATTATTTTAATTTATTTAAACAATAAAACTACATATATTAATGAAATAATATGTTTATTTAACAATATTTTTATTTATTTTAAAATTTCATCTAAAACCTTATCTTTATCAACAGTCGGCCAGTTATCTTTATCTTTATATAATTCAAGTACGTCTTGTCATTCCGGAAGATACTGCTTTAGTTTGACAGGATCATTCATTTGTTTTAATAGGTATTTTTCCAACATACGCCTTTTTGACAGGAAGAGTCAAAGGTTGTGTTGATGTATTTCGAAATGTATCACAAGAAAGTCCATCTATAGAAGATTTGGTCGCAAGAACTACTTCATTTCCAAAAAAATGTTTAAAATGCATATACTGACTTATTTTAAGTGAAATATTTTTATCTTGTGATACTGCTTGTTGAATTATATTTATTATTGCGCTAAGCTTTCATTCTCAATCCTTTATTATTCCTGGAGACGTCTCTGCAAGCTGCACTGCCTTTTACTCCTGGAGACGTCTCTGCAAGCTGCACTGCCTTTTACTCCTGGATACGTCTCTGCAGCACTGCCTTGGATGATAAGAACGGACTTCCGTCTAATAGCTACATCATAGGCGACATTCTCTTCTTGTCCATTTCTCATTGGTCATCTATACCCGGCAATCGCCCTCATTGGTTAAAAACGCCTGCGTTAGGCATTTCCTAATTGGTCAACGTCGAGCGTCACTCTCAATCAGGGCCGCCGAGGGACAGGTCGGGCCCCGGGACAATTCTCGAAATCGGGCCCCGAGACAATTTTATAAAAAAAAGTTTTCAAGCAAAAATTTCTCCTTCTCTAATTGAATTTATTTAAAAAAAAGGTCTTCAAGTAAAAACTTCTCTACTTTAATTTCTCTAAAAAAAGGTCTTCAAACAAAAACTTCTCCTCTTTACTGAATCTTTTTAATCTCTCTAAAAAAAGTCTACAAGCAAAAACTTCCCCCCTCTTGTGCCGAACTGCTGAAAGTAAAAAAAACTCGCCAAAGTTGCCGGCCCCCCCTTATATGTAATTAGAAAGTGATGTTTTCACCCAAGCATTAATCCTTCCATCCCTACGGATCGCACAGATATTTCTAACATAATTTCGGTCAATCTGCGACAGCTGATTGTATTAGCTCGTGTGCCGCGTGTATTAGAGAAACACCATTAGTCAGCGACTTATGGGGTTTGTCAAGTAAAGCAGTTTTTGACATTTGAAAATTTATTACAAGGAGTGCTACGACTAATGGGATTTCTCGTTGGAATGTGCACCGAAGTGTTAGCAATAAGAATCTGCCATTTTTGGAATGTCAAATTTGTGATTTATGGGCTTTCTCAAATGACCGATTCAATTTTAATATAGATAAAAATACCTAATTTTAAAGTTATTTGAAAAATAGTGTGTGTATATATTTAATATCTTCTCATCAACAAGTGCTTTTGTATGAAAAATGTTATCTAATCTAGTTGTTCTATTGGTATTACTAACATAGAATTTATGTGTTAAATTTACTTGCTACAGAGTTATTTAAAAGATCGTAGAAGAGTTTTATTTCAAAAATATATTTTTTTAAATTGAAAGAAAAAACTCTATAAGTGTAATAAACACGAAAAACTATTGGAAAAAAACCTTCAATTTCATTTCCATCTTTGCAAACAAGCGTTGTATTCTCACATCAACACCGCCGCTACTGTTGGATTATTTACCTTATAAATTCATTAAAACTTGAAATGTATTTTAGATGAAAATTAAAACCTTGTACGACATAAAGCACCTCGTCAGTATATTTTCTATAAACAGGTATATATTTTGATGTTCAAATTTGCGTCAATCGGAGAGTATCTCGCCTTGACCTATTGCACGACGGATTTGGTTCTTGAGCAGACGGTCTCTTTTACTTGAAATGCTTTATTTATCATGTCTTTGTTTGCCGTAATTTGACCATACTCGTCCATAATTGATTGTCATTAAGTACTCATACGAAACTGGGGACAGTTCGGCAGAAGACCTTGGTCCGTGTTCTTAAAACGAAAAGATTTGAACGAGAATAGATTTTGCAGAAATCTAGACGGACAATTTAATTTTGTAACTATTTTTATGATAATTTAGAATAGATACAATTATTATTATTATTTTTTATTTCCGCTATTTCTTCAATTTCCTCTCTATGTCTGTAGGAAATTTTCTCCTCTTTCACGTGCTGTAGATTTTTAATATTTTTCTTAGTTTTTGTATGGATCAATTTTTGAAGTCATTTAAAAAAATCACTCAATTTTAATTTGTTCACTATTTTTTTTTTTATTAGTTTGAACCTTTCTGTATGTATTCTCATATGTACCTCAAGAATTATGGTCTTGGTGATCGGTTTTCTAGATCTCTGTACCGGTGGTACCTACAGTAAAAATCCAAAAAAATTTCAAAATCCTTGTTTAGTTGCTTATTTTATGCAGAATACAGAAATCTATAATTTTTTCTATTTTCTCAAAAATGTTCTCCTGTTTCACGTTCAGTGTTTAGATTTTTCATATTTTTCTTAGATAATAATTATTATTTTCCAAAAAAAAGTTTATTAAAATATCTAGGGGAGATTTGTTCGTGAGAGCAACTATTTGAAAACATTTTTTATTTTTATTATTTCATAATTAAGCCTTAAAACAATACAAAAACAGCTAGATAACAAAAAGTAACAAAGAAAAAAACAATTAAAATCGACCACTTTTAAACCTTTCAATTTTGCTGAAACTTTTACATTTTTCTACTCCACTAAAAAAACGATTCTCATTAACGTTTTCAAATTTTGTCACTCAACCCAAAAAGATGTCTTTTTCAAAAAAATATATTTTTTTTCAAATACCCATAACGTTTTTAAAATTTTGCCAAATGTTTACAATTTTTTTTCATATGATCAATCTGTGCATCAAAAAATAGGGTTCAGATTAAACAAAAAATATTTGAAAGTTTTCAGCGTAGGCTTTAAAAAGTTATCATCAAATTTGTATTGCAAGATTTTTGTTTAATTACACTTCTAACTTAATATGAAGATCAAAACTATCTCAAAACTGACTTTATATTGACAAAACATGCTATACCAAAAATGATAAAAATCGGCCATGACCACAGCGCAAAATAATTTTTGTTTTAAAAAACACGCCTATACAGTATCATGTTTTATTATTGGTAAGTCCCAACCTTTTGGAGAAACCCATTTGATTTTTTAGCTTTTTTTATTTACACAGGTATCTGCTATTGATACAATAATTGTCTGTGTTATTCACCAGGTTAGTTAATATTAATATAATTTTTTTTTATTTTAAATTCAAATCAAACCTTAATTAAGCTAACTTTTATTCATACATTTTTATAATTTTACAGTCAGTCTGTACTGTAATTTCACGTAGTTAATGTCCAGACTTTAATATCCTCAGGAATTATGCAATTTTACAAATTGGTTTTTACCTTAATGCGACAGCTGTTAATTTTTAACCTTGCAACTAATGACCGTAATAATTGATAACTCATAATGTTTATGACTACTGTTTTTCTAATTTTGTAAGAACAACAAACCGATACATTGATTATAATTACAAGTTAAATGCAATAAATATATTTGCAACCATCTTTTTAATTTTTTATCAATTGAAATTCGATTCTTTTATGATTTGTAATCAATCCCATATTTTAAATTCAAATTAAATAATTTATCAAATGTTATTATCTTCTTCTATTGCCTTCAATGTTTTCCAACATGCGATCATATATAGCAGGGACAGAATTTGAAAAGGCCTTTGGTAGATAGAGAGGTGGTAAGACTCAAACCCCATCGAAGGACTTCGAGAATTTCGCGGTAATGTTTATCGTATCATAGAATAAAAATAATGCCAAATGTTTTAAATTATTACCGGCGGAATCGGACAAACGTAACTATGTATATATGGCTTAGAAATAATTATTTAAACAAGTAATAATATCCCATATCATAATTTTACAAAATTTCAACAGCTATTCACAATTTATTAAACTATTTACTCGAAATTATTATTAGCATCTATAAAATAAGTTTCTACGCCAGTGTTTGTCGTTCCCTTCGGTTAGCTTTGCGGCAAAACTGTCAATTTCTGTGTATGAAGTGGTAGAATTGCGAAAAGCCTTCCCAACTTCTGTCCCTACTATAATAGGATTAATAGGCTTTACTCGTACAAATAGTGGGTTTTTGGTTATCTAGACGGGGAGAAAGAAAAGGTGCAATAATCAGTGCCGTACCTACCGTATTGAAGGGGGATCAATATATTTTGTTAATTACTATAAAATGCAAGATGATATAGATTTTTACTTTAGAATAGTATTTTAATGTGATACATACTCGTATACTACATACCCATGCAGAGGATTGCCCTTCTGTGGGTGTCAGATATTTACTGAATGCTTAATTTCCAGGTCCTAAATATTAAGGCCAAATTTGGTATATAATAATAATAATAATAATAATAAATGGCCTTTATTTGTACATACCTAAAATACAAAAAATATATAGAAATGTACTTTTGCCTGGGCGAGATTTAGCCTAAGGCTATTCTTACATATCTAACCCTATAAATTTATACATAGTTTAAATAATCAATAAATACATTTTTTACAATAAGCAAATTCTAGTAAAACATTTGAAAAGAAAAAACAATTACCTAAGTGTGTTTATTCACAAAGAACAAACGAGATAAAAAAAAATTAAACAATTGCACTTAAATACTTTGGGAGACCAAGAGCTGTCGTTTTAATATATTTTTAAAAACATTTAGAGATTTTGAATTCTTTATAGATGTGTTTAAACTGTTATACAGAACAACGGCATTGTATGAAAAGCTGCGATTAAAAATTGCAGTAGAATGACGAGGCATGGTTAATGTTAATGGATGTATTTTCCCATAAATATGAAAATTAAATTAAAAATCACACTTCCTCCCCCCCTCTCTACCACCCCTAGCTGATATGGAAGGAGTATCACACTAAAAAATAAATAAATTACATTTTTTTTTTTCAAAAAACATGTCCCACGCCATCTCCTAGGGGACTCGGGTGGTATGTTTAAAAAATTAAGTTAAAACTTTTTTAGTTAAACAGTTGGAACCTACGATTGTTTTACATGCATACGCTAAATTTTATTTTTAAGCTATTGCATAGCTTTTATCGCGGGCTTTGAGCGCGGCGACCGAATCAAGAAATTCCGTAACACCGTAACGAAAATAAACCTAACACCCCCCACTCCGACCGGCACAGCGGTGCGGCGTTGAAACTTTCAACTTGAAAGCCGTGGAAGGTTTTATCCGACCCTATTCGTATTAGTATGAAGCGGAGTTAAATATACGTCTGTGGACTGGAACGTTTATGCAATACAAGAACTAGAAGAGCTTTCTCTGGCTTCTAATAAATTGGTATCACAAATGTTCCCGGCTGGCGTAAATATTAGATATTAATTTGTTTTGATAAAATATTAATTTTTATTTTATCAGTGTTAACTATTTCATTATTAAACTATTGCATAGATTTTATCGCCGGCTTTGAGCGCGGCGACCGATTCAAGAAATACCGTAACGAAAATAAACCTATCACCCTCGAAAAATCGAAAAAGAAATTCCTTAACGAAAATGAACCTAACACCCCCCCACTCCGACCGGCACAGCGGTGCGGCGTTGAAAGCCGTGCATAGTCCAACGTTGTTTCAGTTCGGCAGACTTCGGCACGGTGTTTGTGTGCGTGCGACTAACTGATTCTATCTCTTTTAGACACAATTTCGGAAAAATTAAATTTAAAAATGAATAATGATCCACAAGAATCCACAACAAAATATGGGACCATCATTGACGCGGTATTTTCCAGATATTTAGAGGATATCAAGTCTCAAACTTATGTTTCTTATTTCAATTACCATAAACCTATAGTTTCAATGATAAAAATTCCTGAATAACCTACATGTATTGTAAGATAATAAAAATATTTTAAACAATATTAACTTCTCATTTATTCAATAAAAGAAAACAATTTGTTTTCTTATCGGTCACCACGCTCAAAAAGTGTAACTTAAATTAATATCAAAGAAAAAACTTGAATTAATATCAAAGAAAAAAAAATACTGCATAAATAAAATAAATAAATAATTATAATTGCATAAGTTGATAAAAAATGCTATGCAATAGCTTTACCGCGGCAGTCCCCGAGTGCCACACGTATTTTTTTTCAAAAAACGTGTCCCACGCCATCTCCTAGGGGGACTCGGAGTGGGTGGTATGTTTTTTTTTCCAAAGGCACTTAGTAACAGTTTTTTGTACATATATGATATTCAGAAATTCGTAGGGAGCCAACTTCTAACTTCATTTTTGTTCCCACATCCGAACAATAACGATTCAAGTCGAAATATTTTCCATAAAAAATGGAAAATATTTTTCTCAAAAAAAAATTAAAATTATGAGTTTGTACCTATGTAACAAAAATCGTAGATTCCAATTTTTAAAAGTTCTAATTTAATTTATTGAGCATGCCACCTCTATATCTCCCAACAGCAGAAGGTGGGTGTAATATTTTGGAGGTAAATACGTTGTAAATCAGGTCTATTATTGCAAATGTGCCAAAAATTAAATTTTTATCTCCTATGTAACTATTTTTAAATGCCAACCCCCACAACTATGATAATTCGAGTAAAAAAAAATTAGGTTTGTATGTAGATAAAATTGTAGATTCCAACTTTTTTATTGAAAAAATTGTTACTTATTGACACCCCCCTTTTCATATCAGTTAAGGGTCGGAAAGGGACTGAATTTTTTTTATATAGATTTGATATTTATGGGGAGATATATACCAAATTTAACCTCAATATCTCTAGCGGAACTGCCCTAGTCCCAAGAGCCGAACCCGAAGTTGAATTGAATAATTTTTTAGGGTTTAAAAAATTGGTGAGCAACAGAGGCTATCACGGGGAATTAGCCGTCTTTTCCGAGACAGAAGGGGGAGTCGTCCAGGAAATACCTTGCCAAGAAAAATGTGATAAATGCGAATCTAGTAAAAGACTTGAAATCGACGAATTAGGCTGTAAATGGCAGACGTTTTCTGGCAAATTCTTTATGGTAAGCGGCGCGAATATAAGCTGTGCGTGCGCCCGAAGTCCAAAAGGTATAGCGCCCTATACGCACCTGGGCGACGGTATGGTGCATTTGGTTCTCGTCAAGCACACTTCAGTATTGAACAATTTGAGATTGTTGTTGAGGCTGTCCAGCAGCGATTCGTGCATTGAAGATTTGCCATTTGTTGAGATTTTAAGTGCCAGGGAGTTCTGCTTCCGAGCCACGGAAGGCAGTAGTAAATGGAACTGTGATGGAGAAGTGCAACATCAGATTAATATACGTGCAAAGTAAGTTTTAAGAGATATTTTAATCTCCTGATAAAGTGATCACTGTTAAGAGTTTTTATTTTTATTTGAATCAAATTTGTTTCCAAATCATCATATAAATTGGTGAGTTTTTTACATTACTACTGTTTAACATAACATGTTTTGGAATTAAATTTGTGAAACAAAAATAAACATATTTTGAATAACAATTAAATCATTAATGTGACTTAACGATTAACAGTTAAAATCAAAATGCTGGTACTCAATAACCATTATGGAAATGAAAGTTTTAAATAATGTTAATACAAACGAAATTCTATCAGTATTTCAATCATCAATATTATTTTGAAGATACTTTGTGTAAAATACTGTTTTTTGACCTTATATTTAACCTTTATTTTCGTGTCTTGGAAAGTTATGTACCATATTTATAGGCGCAATAAATTGCTAAAAAGAAATATAAACAATTAAAGGTAAATAAAACAATAATAAACTCTAATATTAAATGTAATCAAACAAAATAATAAACAAAATCTTCCCATTGTATCGATTTTTTCTAATTTTAACTGAGAATCTTTTCAGGGCACTCTGTTATGTATCGTCAAAAAAATTGTTTTTAAATAACAAACCGGTTATAATCATATTTTCATAAAATACTTTTTTTGTTCTATTTATAAAATCCGGAATATAGTGTTCCACTTTAATGGTAATGTGCTAAAAGATTTATTAATTAAATGTTATTATTTGATTGTGAAATGTTCACAAGTTTGGTCCATATTGTTTACTGAAATAATTTCTATTTAAAACATAGCAATCAAAAAAAAGATATATATATTTCACAATTTTGATTTGTATGTAAAGAAATATATATTCAGGACGTGAATTTTCAATTGAAAATTATTTTTATGCATAGAATGTGGAGTATATGTTTTTATATTATCTAAAACTCATATTTTTTTTTTTTTTTTTTCAGAGTAAGATGTCAATTGCTCACAATATTCAGTAGAGGAAAGCCGAAGGAAAACTCAATAGATCCGACCTGCTGTGGATTTTGAGCTTTCCTCTTATTTGATTTAGAAAAACATATTTTAAAAGTATTGACTCAAGTATTTTAAAAGCTCTATTCCTTCCTATAGATAGTATTATTTTTTTCTACAATCTTTATTCATTCCGATTATTTTGAGGTATATAAGATGGCCAACAAATAAATTATTTTTTAATCATTCTGTGTTTTATTTTCCCTAAAAATGAGGCTAGTTTGGATAATTGGAGCCAAAATCCGATTCATTCTGTACTTATTAATTATGCCACCGTGATTTCACTGTACGAACATGGGCGTACTAATTGGCCTACTTGCGCAGACTGCATATCACGTCGGTATTCGGTGAACCAGAGGTTTAAAAGACATGAAATTTTCATACCGCCGTATCTCTATTTGTTCTAAGAGATCAATATATATCGTGTAATATGCCATTTTATAGGTATCAATGAGTAGATTCCGAATCACTATGGCTTTGTAGAGCTAACTTCAATAATATACTTAATAGCGTAGATATGGGCATTTAAAGAAAAAAAATCCCTCCTGATAAAAGTCCCTAGACTTAACTACAACTGTTACAGTTCAGTGGTAAAACCTCGCTTAATTACGGACGATTATGGGAAGTTTAACTGTAAATCGGTGGAATTGGGCCTTACTTACACAAATGGTAAATGGGTAAGCAAAATCCCATCAACACGAAATCTGGATCTAATATAAACAGAAAATAAATTTAAATTACAATGAACCAAGCAAATTAACATAAGTTGCTGTGGGAATCGAACCATGAACCACATAACCACTCCGTCTTTGTATAGTATCTTTACTATAAAAAGTAGCAAAATGTTCTATATTGTAAGAGTCCAAAGAAATAAAAAATAGAAGAAAATAAAGTTAGCAATCTAGTACGTTTTAGGGATTACGCAAACGAACAAAGCTACTGTGCGAACCAAACGAACGAAGGTATCTAATTTGACGTTGGCAGAGATGTCACTCTAAATGTCAAATTTTTATTTTTAGAATTTTTCGTGTTTTCGGGATTCTCTGTTTATATATTGAATTTTAAAAATTTTAACATTGTTGTGTATATTTTCTAGAAAGTAATTTATTTTTACATATATGAATGTTTATTTAATTTGGATGAGACAATATAGCTGGTAACAGGTAAGTTGTCCCTAAATTGTAAAAACAAATATAACCTTAAATGTTGTTTTATATATTTTTCAGGTCAAATCTGTTGTTTTAAACTGAGGAGCCAGATATATTAATAAGATTTTTAGCTTTGTAGTTATTTTATACCAAATTACTAAAATATGAACAAACCTACTAACGTTGAAGATCCTGATGACATTACTATGACTGCACAAGAGTTACATATTTTGTCTGAATTAGACAGGTAAGAATTACATAGGACAAATATAAATGGAAATTATAATATTTACAAGTATTTTACTGCTTTAAACTATATACCAAGTGTAACATAACCTCTACACATTTAGTAGTTTAATTGTTTTCAAATGAGAGTTTTCTTCTCTTTTCAGTCGTCAATACGGATTTTTGTTACTAAACCAACCAGAAAATGCATCTAAAAAAGCCTTGGTTCAAAAGGTGTGTAATAATATAATATTAATTTTACTCATTTTTTTAATTGTATGATTTTAGGCTGTAAAATATTTGCAATTAATGGTTGTCCAAGCTAGGAGACATCAAAAGGCCAAGGAAAATGATTCTAACAATCAGGGGAAAAATTTTAGCATTGATCCAAAGACTTGGGTTAAGTTAGGTCATTTCCATTTGTTACTAGAAGATTATAGAAAGGGTAAGATTTTAGTTATTCATGTAATAATTTAAATATAGGGAAAAACTGTCATTAGTCAATAAATCGACAGCAATATCGTCGTATTGGTGGTGAAAAGAGCTAAGCCACATTTTTAGACAAAATGAGTTAATTATATCACATAAATAAAACAACTCTTAAAAATACAGTGGTGAAGAGAGATAAGCGATTTTTGTAATTATAACCTTAAAATACCACAAACTGAAAGAAGCTAGGTGAAAATACATATATCTCTTTCAGTGGTAAAGCATTTTTAAGCGACATACATTTCTTTTTCTTTTGTTTTTAAGTCGGTCTTAAAATGAAGGATGTGTTTTCTTTGTACCAAATTTTATCATGTTTAGTACATAAATAACAATATTTAAATCAAAAGTTGTTTTAACCTAAGAGTTACAAACTTATTTACCCATTTTCTCCAATTAATAAGTGTGTGGCTTAGCTCTTTTCACCATCAATATGATGATATTTTGAGTGAAATATTGTGTGAAAACTCTGTATATATTTTATTTGTTGTACATAAAATACCTTTATATTGTTTTAGCTCTTTCTGCATACCAAATGTTTTATAAAACACAGGCAGAAAATCATTGGCAGGATACAAGTTTTTTATATGGCATAGGATTGGTTTACTTCCATTTTAATGCATTCCAGTGGTAAGTATCTTGTAAATATCTACAGTAATTTCCAAAATAAAAAAATAAAATGCAGTAATTGGTTATAAGTAAATCTGTGACTGTTTTTGGCAGATTTGGACATTTTAAAGCTGTTTAAATACAAATATATTTTTAATTATAGATAGTGTAATGGTGCAACATTTATTTATATTTAGTAAATTTATGTGAAAGAGATTCAAATTCATATATTTTCTAATTTATTCACCTATCTATAATTTTTCAGAAATGTTCAGTATGTTCTTGTAATTGCCTTTAAACATTTATCTCACTCCAAAGTTCTTTAGCCTTGCAGTATAATATTGATAACTTAATTTGTTGTATTATAAAAATGTAAAAACAAATGCATATAATTTGAAAGTGTTTAATAGTCAAGATGTTGAAAATACAAAATATGAGTATACAAAAAGAATGTACCAGTAGAAACATCTGCGCTAGATATTTCCAAAAATTATAAAAATATTTAAATTTTGTGATAACCAGCTACTAAAATATGTTTATGATCAGATATTTTATAATTTAATACCCTTGACCCTCTATAATTTGTTGGCATTGAAATAATTTTTCATGTATTTATTTGATTTAGGTATTTCATATTTTCATGTTTGAAAGTGTAGTTGTTGGGAAGGGTTGAAATAACAACAAAACACTCAATTTTTTCAAAACAAACTGAAACTATTGATTGATTAAATATTAAAAACATATGCAACTTATTACTCATTAAGAACCTTCATTAGAAAAGTTCCACTTCTCTAGTCGGTTCTATAGGCAATGTTTGGCTGCATGCTTTGCACACTGCTTTTTAGTTGGTGTGATATTGTTCATAACACTCCTCAAAATACTTTCAAATATAATCCGTTCAGTGATTTTTCACAAGTTAATACATTTAACAAAATGTAACTTATTAAAATAATAAAAGTTTGGGAAATCTTGTAGTTTAGGGGATATTACTGTGTAAATCCACACCGCTCTGTCTGGAACGATTGAAATCATAACATTGTTGCCAGTTCATGTATTAATAATGAAAAATTATCCATATTCTTAAATGTGGTCGGTATTCTTCAAGAAAGAATGAATGAAACTCAAAATAAATACCACAATATTTATTTCATAGATTACCAAGCCACTAGTTTCGGCCTTATTGGGCCATCTTCAGGTCAATAATACAAAAATGTCCAATATAGGAAGGGAAGAAAAATAAAATAGTAACGTTGCATACTTACATATAAACGTGTGTTGAAATAATATTACAAGAGAAAAATGTCTTTTAAAAATGCATTGAGTACAGATTTTAAAAACTAATGGTATTGAATGGATGTTACATGACCCATTATAAAATTTAAATTAAACATAAAAAAACTAATATTGAGCATGTGCGAGTAGCTAGAAATTATTTTGTTTGTACCATAAATGTTGAAGGCAGTGAGGTACTGAGGTAAAGTGTGGGTGAGAAGGATCACCAATACTTAAAGATAGTGGCAAACGATGTAATATTGTGACGATAGTCTAATTTATTTATAGTTTATTTATTTAAAACACATTATTTTCATTACAATGATCTATACTAAAATAACAGTGCGCCGATGAGTAGGGCTATTTATACCAAGTCCAACTCTGCTACGAGAAGTCTCTAGCCACTCCCGAAAATTCCATCTCTGATTCAACGGCACGCATCGCCCGTTCTTGTATATTCGAGACGCGGTCCGACTGTCTTCACACGTCAGCGTTGCTTCGATCATGAATCGAGTGGCAGACTCCCAAGGTCGCGCTTACAAAGGGTTGGCTTCGCGTCACAATATATTAGGGCTGAAGCATCTTGCTAGGTGGCAGTGGAAGATAACAACAAGTCAGTAGGTGGTAGAGGCTGCAGTTGGAGAACCAACTTTGATAAAAAATACTTAATGGCACACGCACCGGAAATGAGGGACCAAAACGAGGGGAGTGCTTGGTGATGCGAACCAGTAGAGCTAAGAAAAAAAGGAATTTGAAAACGTGGGGGCCAGATTGACTCTTCAGGTTGGATAATATAATAATACTCTCCCTGAGTATGTTGTTGAAATCATCATGTATTAATATTTGAAGGACAAGAGAAAAATAATGAAATGAATAAAATCTTCTTCTTTTTCTGTTATTTTATATTTCTTATCTTCTTCATTTTCTACTTCATTTATTCTTCCTATCATTTCTATTCTTATATTCTTATTTTCTTCAATTTTTTCGTCAGTGTATATTTTAAAATCCTCAAACTTCTTCATTATTTCTTCTTTATCTTGTTTCCTATTTTCATCCATTTTCCTGCTTATATCTTTATTGTTTTCATCCATTTTCTTGCTATTTTCATCCATTTTTCCAATTAGCATTTGCATAAAATCTTCCAAATTCATTCCTTCTTTCCTTTCTTGCGTCTCGACAATATTATTTTCTAATGTCACTGTATTGTCCTCATTTTGTCCTGTTCCTCTATATTCTTCTTCAAAACTTGTATCTTCTATATTTTGCTGTTCCATATCTCCTTGTCCTATGTTTTCATCATCTCTCTCTTGTTCTTCAATCAAACCAACCTTCTTTCCTCCTCGCAAGTCCATCTAATATATCACTTTATCTTATATATAACTTTAATATATAATATATATTTGATTTTTCCTAAAAATTTCATGTTAACATTGTTTTTTCGTTTTTGATTTAAGAATTATGGTATAGAAAATAAACCTATAATACTCTTCACAAACAACAATGTGAAGAGTATAATAAAATAAAATAAAATAGACTCTAAACTATAAAAAGGAACAATAGAACAGAAATAAAAAATACATATTCAAAATTTAGTAAAAATAAAAAATACTTGTATGGTTAAAGCTCATAATTTAAATTGATAAAAAAGAGGAACACGTTTAAATAGGTATGACACTAAAAATGAACTATTAATACATTATAAAAACTAATAAATAAAATATTAAAACTTTCCATTTTTTTTTAATACTAAACGGTAAACTAAAAAGTCAACGAACATAAACAGTTTGGAAGTTTTGATTGAGAAAGTCTTGTAATTTGTGCTGTGATTTTTAGACATTTGAAAATATATTTTTTTAAAATTAATACGAATTTGAATATAATGAAACAATTATAATTATCAGAGGAGCCCCTGCGGGGCATAAAATATCTCTTATGATAGTTTACGCCAGTGGTATGACCTCGTCTATGCATTCTATCGTGCTTGGGCAAAGAAGTAAAAGTCAAAATTTTGAGTAAATTAATTTGTCCTCTATACTTAGTGTAAAACGTGGGATAAGTCAATAATTTCTATTAGGGTCGCTATTGAACTTGAACTTCATAATATAAATTACAAAAAATACCTTTTTTTTGGTGGAAAAAATCAGTATAAATCGACTTATAAGACATATAACATAGATTTACTCAGCTTTTAAATTTTTGATTTATACTCCTTTGTCCACCCATGATAGCATTAATTAGCGATTTTAAAAAGGTAAGTTTTATTTAGAAATATTATTATAATCACTTTTTTACCTCATATAAAACTTCTAAATCAACAAATGGTAGGTATCAACTTATTTATTTATTAAAAAAAAACCTTGTACTTATGGGTAATTAGAATACATCTGTTAAAATATTACTACTCCTGATCACGAACCCCTTTAGTCATATTAATCCATCAGCACTTTGAGGTTGGCGCCCCTAAAAATAATTCGCCCAGGGCAGTAACCTTAAACACCCCGATACGTATGCACATGCAGTGCAGACGTACAGTCTACGTCGGTCGTTTTTAAGGAAGTTACAACTGTGCAGTTCTCATTTTGTATAAATTAATTCGAAACTTCCTACTAATTCTTAACAATAACATAGATTGGATTACGCGTTAAGTAGATTGGGTTGGTTTTGAAATAGATCGAGACTTCGTACAATTTGCTAAGGGTATATCAGTTTGTTTCTACACTTATAAGTACATATACTATTTTGTGTTTATTTTTTTATACTATAATAAAAAATAAATTGTAAAATGTGCTTTATGATGAAAAGCAGGGAAATTCTTACTCAAGCCAACGCTACTAAATGCCCTCTGCAAATTTCGGCCGTCATCTGATAACGAAATGAAATATGACCAGAAGGCATGTAAAAGATTGTACTTTACCAAATGGTAACTGTGTCAATCAATATCCTGAGCAAAGTTTTTAAAACAGTGGCAATTAGCGAGAAATGTCGCGATTTAATAACGAGATAAGAGTTATGCCATCGGATACCCATTGATTAACAGAACTCGAAAAAGTACCTGGGACACCTTTTTCTGAGCTAAATGCTTCGGCATGGCGTCTTGCAGCCAACATGCTCGACAAACTTATGTAGTAACGAGTTAAAACAATATGCAATCGAAAGGGCATGTTTCATTCGCGAATATCCATGTGTCACGATTTAACCTGAGCTAAGTTACTGGCACAGTGCAATTTCTAAGACGCGCCTCGCCCCATGCATTTATTTCATATACATGACAGTGATAATATTAATTGCCCTGAAAATTACAATCCTAATTCGTTGTGAATCTACATTTTGAACGTGAATTAACAATATTAAAGAAAAAAGAGCGTTGAAAATGTACATTCCTCTTAAGGCAGTCGCGTTAAGTAACTGGACTTCGTATTAAATCCAACGTAATATTTTCCCTATTCCCTATCATACGAGTATGCGGATTGTATTGCCTTTTAATAATAGTAATTAGTCAGATACTCCGTTTCAACCACTATAAGTTGTAATCACCGGGGGAACATTAGCGTTTTGTACATGAACGATATAATTGTAGTAAAACCATACTTACATTTCCAGACTCGAATTGTTTTATTTCATTTATTCTGTCTGGTCGTCTGCAAACAAAAAAAAAACCATCGACGGTTTCGTGCCACAAATGAACGTTCCAGGAGACTATTTTTAGCCAATTTTGCTTTGTCAAAAGATTTTCATATTTCATGGGTTTG